TGCTAAATCTGGTACAAATCATCTCTTCTTTTGTAAAGACTAATGGTATTGTACACTGTCCCTGTTTAAATAAACAATAAAGAAAAAAAAAAATAAAAAATAAACATTACACCTGTGTTACAGATCTCACATTACACCTGTGTTACAGATCTCACATTACACCTGTGTTACAGACCTCATATTACACCTGTGTTACAGATCTCACATTACACCTGTGTTACAGCTCTCACATTACACCTGTGTTACAGATCTCACATTACACCTGTGTTAAGGACCTCATATTACACCTGTGTTAAGGACCTCATATTACACCTGTGTTACAGATCCTCACATTACACCTGTGTTACTGACCTCATATTACACCTGTGTTACAGATCTCACATTAAACCTGTGTTACAGACCTCATATTACACCTGTGTTACAGATCTCACATTACACCTGTGTTACGGATCTCACATTACACCTGTGTTAAGGACCTCATATTGCACCTGTGTTACAGACCTCATATTACACCTGTGTTAAGGACCTCACATTATACCTGTGTTACAGACCTGAACAGTGTGACTCAAATATGAAACTGGGCTTGTTCACACTAAAGGGTACAGAAGAATATATATTGTATTTTTCATTTATCCAAATACCTCTTCTGACCATTAGTAGTTGCTAAATGATAACTGTTTCATACATTAGAAAAAATGTCTATGGTGGCTCTATTTATTTGTGTAACGGACATGATGCTTTGATGGAATGAGTTACCCGGAAGTTTGCTACATATTTTCAGATGTCCACATTTGATAAAGATATTTGTTTTTGTTTTTTTTACCCAGAGTACAAACAAAATAATTAGTTTCATATAGTGAACCAATTAAAAGTGATACCAGACATTCATTTTTTCCCCCAAGTTTAATTTTTCAGAAAAAAAGACAAAAACCATCACGTTCGTTACAAATTTTTCAAGGGTCATTTAAATTTGTCTTATTTTTTTTATTTTTATGATTCCTTTTTAAATCAAGGGATTTTCTCAAGTGTAGTGTTATCCGTGTTAATCTTGTGGGAGTTCATCTGCCGCTATGTCACTGATGACCTTTTTAACTGGCATCACAGTTGACATGTAAAATCAGAGGCTGATCTGGTCTTTTAAAATGTTGCCAAAAATGTACTCAACTATGTAAGTAAGTAATCTTTATTTATATAAGATGAAGCGGGGTCGCCAATACAGGCGGCGCATGCCAGACCTATTGTGCATGTTTTTAATGGTAGGGGAAACCGGAGTACCCGGAGGAAACCTACGCAGACACGGAGAAAACATGCAAACTCCACTCAAAAAGGCCCTGTTCTGACCGGGATTTGAACCCAGGACCTTCTTGCTGAGAGGCGAGAGTGCTATCCACTCAGCCACCATGCCGCCCACTATGAACTACTACTAATAATACCGCTACTAATTATAATATTGCGTCTGTTTTCTACAGCTCTTTTCTGGAGTCTGACATATACTTGTCATTGTTCATCACTCCAAACTATTGCTGTAGCCACAGCTGCCCTGGGGCCCAAAAATTAACCCTTGTAAACCGCTTTGTGACTCTGGTCTGTGAAAGGCGGTATATAATAACGGCTTATTAACCGAGCGCGAGGTCTGTATGGAGAAATATCAGACCGTGGCCTTAATGTACAGACGAGGCGAGGTCTGTGCAAAAAGGCCAAGGTCTGATATTTCTCTGTACAGACCGAGCAAGCAAGGTTAATAAATGTTTTATTATATGACTCTCGTCTGTGTCTTTACCAATGCTTTTGAGATATTTGTGAAGTATGTTCATGCCCGACTTGGTTGTGTGTGATACGCGCTGCGGACAGATTGTCATGGTAACGGTCCGAGGAAAGATATCAAATGTGATACGCGCTGTTCGGACCAATTGTCATGGTAACGGTCCGAGATGGGAAAATATCAGACCGGTAATCAGCCAATCAGAGCGCGCGTACGGTCCAAGTCATATAATAAATAAAGATTACTTACTTACTTAGTTATCAGAAGTGAGGCTACCAGTCTGTGCCATCTGACCATCCCACCATCACCAACATACACACCAGACTCAAGGTATTGTGGGGGAAGTGACCTTGCCCTGCTCCATAGGTCTGAGGGATCTTGCTTTCACATGCAGGTATGGCCACAAATACAGTAGGTCCCATTTCGTTTTGTCGCCTTTCACGCGTGAATAGCACGAGACTCACGTGTGAAACACGCGTATTTTTTATTTTTTTCCCCAGTGATGCTGCAATGACCCAAACAACCACCAGATGGCACTTGTGAGCAGGGTTAGGAACATTGGCTTCTCACCGCTCTTTGTTCTCTCTTCACCGGACAACTGTCTGTGGCTTTATAGCTTATGATAAGGAGCTAGACTCTGGTGCGAGAGGACCCGGGTTCAAGTACAGGCTATGACACTTTTGATTTTGTTGACGTTTACATTTTTTCTAAAATATACTTAGTAATTAGGCCAACACATTTAAAATAGTTGCTAGACTTTAGTAAACTTGTAAAACGCGCTGGGTGTCACACATGGCTGGGGGCATTAACGCACGGGTTGCCACTATTCATTCTATTACTATTACTATTCATATTCCTGGAAAATTTTCATTTCCTCTATAAATTCATTCATGTCATTGATGGCCTAATAGTGTAGTAGCCTACATAGGATAAAATATATGCAGCATAATATGAATTAATACATATTTATATAAATATTGCATTAATTATGAGGCAGGGTGACCAATAGTGACAGATCTGCCAGCTAATCACGAAAGATTATACTTGTTTGAAAGTAGTGATTTCATCCAATGGGGAGTAAGCTTCATCCAATGGGGAGTAAACTACTAATGGGAGTAATCCCACGTGGGCTGGCCACGTGTGATTTTTTAGCCAATCACGAGTTTGAAAGTAGTGGTATCCGCCAATGCTGAATAGTGTTTTGAAGCAGCCTGGCCAGCCGCTGCATTCATATGCAAAGTTAGCCTGGCTCCAGCCGACCTTTAGCCCCGCCTCCATGGAGTTTCTGCGGGCAGGTCGGTCTGGCATTCCTCAATGGAAAAAGTATTATGGGGGGCGTGTTCGAACTGAAACAGGAAACACAATCCCCCTTCGTACTATTGGATAGTCCAACAACCAATGAGAGCGAGGTGTGACGTATTTATGCGACGTTATTATTGTTTACCTTCTCGCATGCTGCCTGTAAAATGAGTGCAAACGACTTGTGCCGGTGTTGCAAAAAGAACTTGAAGATACGCGGAGTATTTAGCAACACGTTACTAATTTTTGAGAGAAATAAAAAAGGTAAATCCATATACGAACAAGTCCTCCATTTAGGTTTACAACTTCACAAGACATCAGAGAAATCTACGCGCATTTGTCGGTCCTGTCACAACCTGATTACAAGACTGGAACGCGACATTCCCGTGTTCAAATCATGGACAAACGAAGAAGGAGAACCGGCTGAAGAAGCATGCTCATCAGAGTCACCATCAGAGAAGAGAGACCGGGAGCTGAGCCCTTCTAAGTCGCCCAGAGCCCTGAAGAAGTTCTGTTCCAATCATTTAACTGCAGCCGGTGCAAAACCGCGAAGAAGCATCACAAAGGTAAGCGCATGTTAAAGAAAAAATTCTACCTATTATTTTATACCCACAATCTCGATTGCCAAGTGTTTCATATATGAAGTCGTGTTTATTTACAATGTGATTAACACATAACCAATTTCAATGCAATACATCAATGATTAAACCATCTGAGGCATATTAGCTGGGCCAAATCCGAGTCAGGTCAGGCAGTGTTCCCCTGAGCTGCTCTACAATTGCCTCTGGGCTCACCATAATAAACATGGTATATTCCAATGCATTGTCAAAGCTTATGCTGCAGTTATTCTCACTGTCACTTTGTCCTATATTGTAGGTTGTCACCCATTACCCATCACAGACCATTGCTAAGGCATGTGATTCAGAAGATGCCTCAATAGTCAACAACATAAACCAAAAGAAGTGGACTACAGCTGCAAAGTCCATTTTAAAGCATACATACCTGGTTGACAAAATAAAGCAGCACATTGTGGACCTAATAGAGCATGAATGTAAACATTTATGTAATCCAAACAACGGGTGTATCCTGTGGAAGTCATCACCGGATGACCTGAAGGCCTTTTCATTCACCAGGTTAGAAGAAGACTTAAGAAGTTTTTCACCATTCCTGTTTTCAATTTTGATGACTATCACCAAAGACTCGCAAACTGCAACTTGTGCGGCAGCTTTTATTGCTTTGAGAGGAAGAGAACCACGAATGTCTGCATTTGCATACTACTTATGTAGTATTCTTCATTATGGTGGAGCAAAAACAGCTGTGTTTGAAAGGCTGAACAAAATGGCCATAACAACAACCCACCAAAATTCCATAGATAAGCAGAAGGAGTTGGCCTTCCTCTGTGGGGCTGCTCTACAAATGTTAAAGGTCCAGAATGAAGCTTTCCTCTACTCTGAAGCAGAAGGGAATATGTCTGGTGAGATGACAAATAGCTAATATGTAGAAACGCAACACATTGAAATGCTATGTCTTTTTAAATGTTTTGTGTCTATCCTGTGATTAGTAATGAGTTATCCCTTATTCTTTTCCAGAAAATGAAAAGGCTGAAAGCGACGGCATACATGCCTCTGCAATGGCTATGCTGCCTTTTAACAGTTTAAGTGCCTTTGAAGCAGCAGAGCCGGGCCTGAGCTCTTCTGCCTCTCCGGTCATTCAACTCACTCCTCCACCAACATATTCCATTATAATTGACAATTTGGACTTTTTCATGCGTGCTCATCATCAGTCTTCCCTCCATAATAACAAATCCATACACTGGATCCATCATATTGCAGTCCAGGATCGCATCTCAATAAATCACCTTGGCAATGAGAAGCCGGACTATGACATGTTACAATATGATCTTTGCAACTCTCTCCCCGGAGTAGAAATCCAGGACAATATGCGACGGGAGTTTATTGTTCTTGGGACCCGCATCCTGACCCAGCACCTGTCTGTGTTTAAGCCCTTCAAACATGTTGTCGTTCACCACATGCCACATCAATATTCTGAAGACATGTCTAAGTGCTCCACAGATGTAAGTAGTGAGTTAGATATGAAACAAAAGTACAGTCAAACACGACTGCAATTTCATTGTTTTCAATTTTTTCCTCTAGTATCCTCTTGGACTGCTGTTCAAAGATGAGAACAAAACGTCAGATTTGGTGGACACACTTCGCCACATCCAGAAAGAGTAAGAATATAATTATGCTCCAGTAACACACGCATTGGCAGAAGGGCTTTGTTGAAATTTATGATTTAAATGTTTGCATATAATCCATTTAGGTATGTGCCAAAAGGACCCAATGGTGTGTCAAATGTATTGGTAGGAGGTGACCGGCTGATTGAGGGGAACTGCAGAAACTTGCAGTGGGCCTTCTCAGATGGTGCTACAAAAGAAGACAGACTGGAAGGTCTCGTCTTTAAGTTTGAGGACTGGCATGCCATCAGAAACCTCTTTGAAGTGAGTAGTATTAGACACTGGTGTGACTGTTTCATAACAAAACTGAACTGTCAGACCACTACTTTTAGATGTACTTTTGTGTGCCAAGCTGTGTTCATTCCTGTTTTATAAGCCTCCAATGTTTACATAGATCTATCATCGGATATTCTATGACTGCACATCCTCAAAAGATCATGGAACACTTCATTCCAACATGACAAAATTGAGGTACAGTGCCTGCTTTCCGAAATGCCGTGAATACACACTTAACACTTTTATTTCAACTTGACCCTAACCTTTGTGTTGTGTTCATGCCAGACAATGGTGTGTTCTATGCCCTTAGTAATGTACCTTGTTAAATGATTACCTAATAAATGTTTGGGTGACAGCCTCTGCTAAAATAATGTAAATGTCTGTGATGGACAATGACAAAGACTATCTGCCATTTGCTAAACTACACATTTGTTTCATAGGTGCAGTAATGCCAAACAAGGTCCCCATGCCGCTTACAATGCCTATAAGGAATTTGTGCGGAAGGACACGGCTGCACTCTTCCTGGCAGCTGCAATGGAGCACTGGGGGCTGGAGGATGTAACAGGTAAGTTATAGCACTTGACATCCCATTCAAAGTTGATCTTAGATACAAGTACTCATGTAATGAATACATGTCACTTTGAGAGTTGATAATTAAAATGCATTTTGAGTAGTTATGACATATTATATCTCTTAAATGTTATCCTGTGTACTCCTGGTGGTGAGACGTTAAAACATTCTTTTCTGTGTGCTAACAGACATTCCAGATAGCTTTGTGCCAGTGGATGTTGCCTATGGATCGCCACAACTGAAGAGGAATTGGCTGCATGAGAAGGTTGGAGAGGTTGTGGACACTTTTGTCATGATGACAAACGTCACAGAAGCAGCAAGTCAAAGGCCAGCCTCACAACAGCAAAGACCGAAGCTTCCGTGCCGTGCGGACGGGTGTGGCCATGTGTATATATACACCAAAGCGAGGGAAAATCATGAAAAAAAAGATGCACAATCTTGTGGCTACATCAGCCTCTTTTGCAGAAGACACCAGACCAGAAAACCAAGATCATCAGAAACAACACTCAGAAGCTAGACTTGGCTTTGGCTTCTTCCTGTTAAACATGCAGGATGCAGTAAGAGAAGGGGATGGTGAGAGGCTGATGAGACTGTACAAAGTTGCCCTGCTTTTCTATAAGGCATATGGACACAGCCAGTATGCCTACAGCACGTTCCTACTAACATTACAAGTCAATCTCACTCTGTCCCCACGCATGGCACACAGTGTTGTATGGAACCGGTTTTGGAATGGTAGAGGGGGAAAGGGGGAAAATATTCCCCTTGACCTCCATCTGGAACATCTGAATAATTTTCTGAAATCTTTTATGACAGGCTTGGGACCAAACCTGTCTGAAACATCAGCAGCCAGGATCAGTAAGTCCATTGGCATCCTCAAGGAGCTGTTGGAAAACAGACACAGAGCTGGAGGTGACAAGGCCAACCGGCATTCACCATGTAACCAATGAGCAGGACGACATTCTTGCCTTGGTCAACATTTTCAGGGAGACTCAGATTTTCAAATGTCAACCAGGAAGACAATTTCACGCATTCCCTCATTTCAAGAGAAACTTGTTGGGAAAACTAAATTACCGTGAGTTATGGCAATGGATGAAGTCAAAAGTAATGGACTGGAGAAATGTCCCTATTTAGTTAAGTAAAACTTGTAAAATTTGTAAATACTGAAAGTGAAACTGTACATCATTTTGTTATTAAATCTTTATGAAGTTGAAGAGATCCTTAATTTGTTCCAGTATGGGGAAATTTCAATGTGTCATCACCAGTTACAGAACAGGAGTGAGGAGCGCACACAGCGAAAGATAAAGGACCAGTGTCTTTTAGTTTCTACATTCTTAACCATGTTTCCTTATGTTCAAATATTGCCTCTGGAGATATGCCACATCTCGATACTGCTGTCAATCAGTTGACGACCTGCACTACAACAGCAAACTTGCACATAGTCAATTTCCTATTGTATCAAATACTTTTATTGCACACAACATACTATTTTCACCTTCATGACAATGGCTGTCTTTTACATGTAGTATTCATGCCAACTAACATGTACATTTCTCTAGTGCAATCTAAAGTAAACGTTTTTGCATTAGAAAACAAACAGCAGTCAGAATATAAACATAGTAACTAAAGCATAAATATAATCAACACATAAAGCTACAAAATGAAGGCAGAATTTAAAGCTAGTCTGAGATCCTCAACATTGAAAAGCCTGATTCCATGCTACTAAGTGATTGCATGTCATCCTCTTCCTCATCAAAGTAACCAGTGTAGTGCATGTCAACCTGAGCACAGTCTTTTGTAACACTGTCATCTAGCAAATCAAATTGACTCTGTTCAAGGTCATAAAATACCTCATGCATAATTCTCAGTATCTCTTTAGCATGCTCCAGTTTGAATACAGGGAGGTTGTTGATAATGAAGTCCAGATCGAATATATGTGTACACTGTTCTATAATTGCATTAATGAGTTCATCTCCAAAACCAGTGCAGGCTGTGTCAACGGTGTAAAGTGGGACGTTATGGTCCTGAAGTAAACTGCTCCTGTAAGTCTGCAACAGGTCCCTGATCAACAGCTTGTCATCAAGAGTGACTATTCTGTGTTTATAAAGTGATGCAGACTGGCTTTGAATTTGTTCATACTTAGGGATGGGTTCCCCACAACCCTCAGGCTCACAACAACAAACAGAATGGCAGTGGGTGCAACAAAGATGTCCAGGATCAACAGATGTGGTGATTTCTTCAAAATGGCAGTACAACGCTTTACGCAGACAACCAGTGGCTCCAGCCTCAAGTACGGTCTTAATGACTGGATCCAGCTTTGCATGCTGTTTGACAGCATAAACAATTGCATGTGCCTGCAACCCATCTCTGCCTGCCCTCCCAACCTCCTGAACCATGGCTTCCACATCATCAGGGAACCCATACATCACAATATGTGATATCTTGGGGAAGTTTAAGCCCATCCCAAGAGCTGTTGTTGCCACAACAACTCTGCAGCTGCCCTGTCCACTCAGAGATGACAGCACTCTGTTCTTATTCTGAGGCAGTGTCTGGCTGTGAAACATGCCCACCAGCAGGTTGTCGGGATTTTCATCAGGGTCTCTGTTGACCCAGGAATCTTTACCAAGTGCCCCCTTCAAATGGCAGAATACTCTGCCAACTGTCTTCAGGGTTCTGCAGTAGATAATGACTGGTGACATGGAGATGCCTTTTTCTTTTACATCACTGACAATCCAGTCTAGGCAGTCCAGTGTATGGAAAGGCACTTTAATCAGACCCAGTCTGATATTTGTTCTGTTTGGGCTCAGAGCCAAAATGGTTGGATTGTCCATCTGAAGTTGTGTCATGACTCTGGCTCTAGACTCCCGATCAGCAGAAGCAGTCATTGCCAGCACAGGTGTTCCTGGAATATACAACAGTACAATAATCAACCATACAGTCAAATGTGACAGTTATATTTTGTGGGAACAACAAATACCTAGTAGTAATGAAAACTATTGATACATACAATGATGAAATGTGTGTCATAGTATTATAATGTATTTTGATAATTATGTAGAAATGTATGGGTGTATGTTGGTAGTTGTGTTTGTATGTATATGTTTACATGTATGGAAGATATGTGTGTGAATATATGTATTCCGCAGAAAGTGCAAGTCTGAATGCAAATAGCAAAATGGTTTTGGGTTTAGAGTGGTTGGTAAAAGTCTTCAGAAATGGACTGTTCTTACATTCCTGTGGCTAGTGGTGATTTACAGTGTAGTTTGTACTCACCAGCTTTAACTAGGGATCTGAGTTCTCCCAACTTGGCGAAGCTCTGGCGAAATGGCGTTTGTCCTTGTGCAGCCTGACCCCTGATACAAATGAAAGAGTACATTAGAACAAGAGTTGTTGAACTACAATGAGACCAAAGATGAGCTTTTATGAGTTCATAAGTGAGGGAATTCCAATGTCATAGTTGCACATTGTGGCTGAATAAAAGGAGAAATAAGAACACTCAGACTATACACACATCAAACAGGGTCTATTATCAGCCTCATGACGTATTCACCGATGTTTTAGCAGCAGAGCCCAAACAACCAGAATAAACAATAACAATAATAGCCGCGGGTAAAGCTAGTGAATGATCAGAATTATCAGGTACATTGCATATGTAATAATATAGCAGCCAAGGTGACTATGTGTATAGGGGGTTACTCAGACTATCTCTTACCATTTGTATGTTAGATGCACTTCATCTACGACAATGCCCATCACGTTGGCTTGAAAAATGTCCGAGCCGAGCATGTTCCTCCACCTCTGGTTGAGCAGCCAGGATTCCGGGCTGCCGAAAATGAGCTGGCAACGACCGCTGGTGATGTCCAACTCCTCGTGGACGCCGAGTTGCATTGCCGTGATGCCCATCGCACTCGCCTCCTTCACCTGGTCCTCCATAAGCGCGACCAATGGTGAAACCACAATGACTATTGGGTTTTCCCGGTGTCCCAACTTCTTCGCGACCATCGGGGCCAGTTGATAAATTAAACTTTTACCAAATCCCGTCGGGAGCACGGCTAGGACATCTTTTCCACTCACAAATGCCTTGATAGCGTTTCTCTGTTCATATTTCAAGATGAATTCTCTGTTCATGTCTTGTAAAACAGAATCAATAGCAGAATCCACACATCTCACCTCCCTAGCGCAATGCATGTTTGTTTTGAACGTATTCTGCCCTGGCGCTCTTTGATGACGTAGATGCTGACGTTACTGTTGCTCACCTGTCAACCATCACATGAAGCCCGCCCTGTCACTCTGACTGGCCCGGTATGTATCGTACCGGGCATAATACTTTTTCCATTGAGGAATGCCAGACCGACCTGCCCGCAGAAACTCCATGGAGGCGGGGCTAAAGGTCGGCTGGAGCCAGGCTAATGCAAAGTAGGGACATTAGCATGGTACGGATGCGGCAGTTTGGAGGACAGGGCACCCTAACTACGCGTTTTGAAAACTGCCTGAGATACCCGAAAAAGAGCGTGATTTCCTGCCGTTTAGGGTGACAAAAATCTAACTTTTCGTGCAGTGCCTTATACTGTAGTCGCTCATACAGACTCCAAACTTTCCAGTCTTGGACGTAACAATATTTAGAAGGTTTTTTCAGAGGGATTTTTTAATAGCCTAGCCTGATTTATTCAGCTTTGAACCCAAAAAAACAGGCGGAATTGTTTGTATGATTGAGGCTGGTTCGATCTACTGGAGGTTTGGGTAAGGCAAGCGCACAAGTTAAAGCTGCGTAGGAACTGAACTGTATTGAACTAGATTGACCAGGGCTCGAGTCCACAGGAATGTCAAAAATCCAGTTTATCTTGAAGCACCAGTGAAGCACCCGGTCAAAATGCATGTTTGCTGCTGGCTATCCCATACTGTAGAAGAAGTCAGAAAGGAACTTTTGAGAAGAAGTGTTTTTATTAAAAAATAAGACTTAAAAATAAGTAATAAAGTAAAATACAATTGTATTGTTACAGTACTTACAATACAGTGCAGTAAGTTAGTACAGTGTTTTACAGAGTCAATCCTTTGACTTTAAATTGCGTTTTGATAGGCCCGAAGTGAGCAACAAACCTCACCGCACGTCACTGGGTGGGGGTGGGGGATGGGGGCTGTGGCACAGTCTTGTTTGTCAAACGGTCGCTATTGTAAAACACACAACTCACACTGAGAGAGGGATTCAGACTGCAGACATCAGTTAAGTCCAAACTTTAGCAGGACTTTTCTTGTACTGCTTTTGTAATGAGCTTGATAAACATGTAAAACTTTAAATACAATTGGAATTCAACTCCACAATCAACACCAACCAAACTGCAGGAATAAAAATGCCAATTTTACAACATGACATTTCCTTTTGACAAGGAAAGAAGATAACAAGCTGATAACCAAAAGGTGTGCAACCAAAACTGCCTCAGACAAGACTCAAACCCGGATCCCCCGGGTCCTAACCTGCAATGCTAACCATTCAGCCAACATAGTATCATTAGGCAAGACAAGTTTGCACGCAGCTTTAATACCTGAGCGTTTAAGTCGCTGGCAGCGCTAAAGCGGACTTAACCTGCCACCTTGTGGCGATAAGATGTAATATGTTTCACGCAGCTGCGTGATTCATGAAAAGCGTGAGTGAAGACGACAAAACGAAATGGGACCTAAGTTTATTTGTATAGCACAATTCAAACACAAGGCAACTCAAACTGATGAACAAAATAACTAATAACATAATATAAATAATCACAGTACTAAGAAAGATAAAAATATAAAATCCCTCAGTTGTATGCACAGCTAAACAGAAATGTGTTTAACCTGGTTTTAAACTTTGTCAAAGAAGAGGCCTGTCTCACACTTTCAGGAAAATTGTTCCAGATTTTAGCAGCATGAATCTGAAATGCAGCCTCCCCATGTTTAGTTCTGACTCCGGGCACTAACAGGAGTCCAGTCCCTGTGCTCCTCAGAGTCTGGGCTGGTTCATATAGGACTAACATGTCACTAATATATTTTGGTGCGAGGCCATGGAGAGACTTGAACACAAGCACAGATGTTTTAAAGTCTATTGTCTGAGCCACAGGAAGCCAGTGTAGAGACCTGAGGACTGGAATAATGTGATCATACTTCCTGGTTCTAGTCAGGCAGACGTTTTGTCGGGGTCCGTTTCCACTCCGTCTTGGGACACCACGTGGCCCAAATACTTCACGTACTTTTGGCAGAACACGCATTTTTCAATAGACAACTTCAAGCCAAAGTCTTTGAGCCTATTCAGGACTCTCATTAACCGGTCTTCGTGTTCCTCAAGTGTTGGTGCAAAGACTTAAGTCGTCAATGAACACCAACACCTCCTTCAGATTCAACTGTCCCATGCACTTGTCCATAAGTCGCTGAAATGTGCTTGGCGCATTGGTCACTCCCTGCGGCATGCGATTGAATTCATAGAACCTGAGAGGACACACAAAAGCGGTCTTTGATTTATCCTCATCATCCATCTCAATCTGGTAATATCCACTCTTCAGATCAAGCACCGTGAACCATTCCGATCCAGAAAGAGTAGCAAAAGCGTCCTCCATCTTCGGAAGGGCATATGCATCCTTGATGGTTTGCATGTTTAGTTTGCGGTAATCGATACATAAGCGTACGCTTCCGTTTTTTTTCCGAACAACTACGATTGGGGACGCGAACGGTGAGTCAGTGTCTCTTATGAGTCCCGTATCTAACAGCTCCTGTAGATGTTTCCTCACCGCGTCAACATCATGAGGATGGATGGGTCGCGGACGTTGCTTAAAAGGTGTCGGATCTGATATCTTTATCTGGTGTCTCACCATGTCCGTCCGTCCAAAGTTGAGATCGTGCTTGGCAAACACGTCTGATATGCTGTTAAGCTTGGACACAAGTCTCTCTTTCCACTGAGGCGACAATGGTGAGTCCCCAAAGTTGTATTGGATCAGTGATGGCTCTGGTATTTCCGGATCTTTCACAGTGTGCTTTTTGTGTATGATGGTTTGGAAAGCACTGATCTCTGCGATAACTGCTCGAGCTGGGAGTACAACTGGATGTTCTGACTCGTTTGTTACTACAACCGGCAGGGAACAAGGCCGATGTTGGGGCAGGTCAACAAGACAACGTTTAACAAAGAGGCCACCAGGAAGGGTAACTGAGGAAGGATGCTCAATTACCGCAGCTTTCTCATCTTCTAACAGCCGAGTTGTGAGTTTGCTCTCCAGGACTGTTGTTTTGCCTGGCATAATCGTCTCTGGTTGGTCAGAACAAAGTATCAAAAGGAAGGGGTTATTTGTAAATGTCTCTGCATGCCGGCGCTGCAAGATTTTCATAATGGCTCTGTATCCGCATCCGGTAGACTGGTGGTCGATGGAGCCAGCTTCCAGATGCTTCTGATATGCCACATCCAATGTGTTGGTCCCGATCAACAGAAGCGGGTTAGAGTGTTTGACATCAGGCACAACCAGAGCCAAAGTGTCCAGTTCAGTCTCCGTTCCAAAGAGTTCAGACGGAAAAGTCAGAGAGTTCGACATATCCAAAATAGGGCACAGCTTCACCATTTGCCCCTTCGACTTCCAACAGATTGTTCAAGGGTTTTATCTTGTGTTCGACCAAGTGTCTGTTGTAAAACGAGTGTGGTATTGTGGTTACTTGAGATCCACTGTCAAGGAGACAATTGAATAGAGTTCCATTTATTCTGACTTGGCCAGTGCTCTTTGTTCCAATAAGGCCTCTGGGCAGCATGATTGGGCGTTGCGTATTTCTGGGACTTTGGGTCTCAGCAGCTTCCAGGTGTCCCTTAACAGGAGCTGCTGCTAGTTTGACTTGCCAGTTTTTGTGTCCCACGCCTGCTGTTTTTGGCGTAGCTGCTTTTTCTTTTGTTCAACGAGGCTTTGATTGGGCTTATTTGTACAAGAGGACGAGATATGCCCATCTTCACCACACCTGAAACAGTACCAGGGTCTTGGCTTGACTGATGATTGGGTGTAGCTGGTTGGCTTTGACAGGTCAGGTCGTGGCCCCTGGTTTGAGGGTAATGCCTTTTGGGACAAGAGTATTGACATCTGCTCCTGAAGCTTCTGAATTTGTTTTTTTAAATCTTTCAGTTCATCACTTGGGTTTGTGTCTGTGCTCGGACTAGCACCAGACCAAGCGCTTTGAGATTGAATACTGACTCGTTGCTTTGTGGAGCCGATGTGCTTTTTCATTAAAGAGTCTTTAACTGTCTGACGGTCTTCCTCTGTTCTTAATGATAATAGCAACTCAGCGAATGATGGGGGATTGTCTTTCTTTTGTTCAAGTTGTAATTTCACGATTACGCCGTTTTCCCAGCATCCACGACAGAACTGTTTTAACAGGTGCTTGTCCTGATCAACTGCTGTGATGCCGCCTCTTTTAACAACAGTGCTTAGCGTTAGATGCAATCTCTGAAGGTAGGACGAGGGTTGTTCACCCGGGTTCTGCAGCGTATTCAGAAATTGAGCAAAGAGCTCCTCCCCATCCTGCACTGTATCGAAAGCCGAGTCCAGCACACGAAGTACGACTGTGGGTAGTGAGTCTGGCCCGAAAGCTTTGATTAAATCTGCAGCAGGGGACAATAAACTCTCCATTATACGCCGAGTGACATGCAAGGCTGAAAGATTGGGGTCAGCTTGTAACAGTTCGATTTGGCTTCTCCACGACTCATAAATCGACTTCACTGCTTGGTTTTGGGACTCTCCCGGAAAATGATCTGAGCCGTAAAGACGATGACGTGACCACATCGCTGTTCCGAACGACATGTGGGTTAAGATCATCCCCAGACAGTGAGATCCTTTCGCCAGCTACCTTTGGATAACTTTGACCGATTCGAGCCCGCTGTTGGGAGGATGATGGAAATTGGAAGGAGCCTCGAAATGGCCCTGCCTTTTGCATTGTATCCGGCCATGCTGTGGATGGCAAGTCGATGGTCCTTCCTCCTTCCTCCTTGTAATCATCCTCTTCGTCCTCCTCCCCATCTTCCTCTTCATCCTTGTATTTGGCAGCCAATCGAACATAATCCTTCCTTCTGGCTCCAGCCTTGTCCAAATGGCTACCGATTTGATCCATGACAGACTTCAGGACATCCTCAAAGCGTTTTCCAGAGCTATCGGCTATGCGCTTCAGGTCCATAAGATAGTCCGTATCGGGATCTGAAGATGGGTTGGATAAGGGAATTGAGGTGCTTTCACTCACCGTTGCCTCGTATTGGGACGCAAGCGATGTAACGTAAAAACTGCGGTCCGCGACTAACGACTGGTGTGTATACGGCAGTAATGGTTGTAGTAAAGACATTGATGTTTGGTCTACATACTCAACGATCAGGTTTTGATAAAAAGAACTAGACTTGTCACTAACTGTGATGACACATTTAATCTCTCCATAGCTACAGAGGCAATCAACTATTTCTCTGTCGGTGTCTGTGTTAGACGCGCCAGTAACTAGTGCTGATTTGGAGACATCACATCCCGACTTAGAAACAAAGTCTGCCATTCTTTCTTTAAGCATATAATGTTGTTATTATTTTATTATTTTTTTTTTCTATTATTTTTTTTTATTCCGAATCTCATATCAAATTAAACATTCATTCACACGTTATGGCTCCTGGCTAGCTCGCCAAATGTAACGCTCTTTAGGGCTAGGTCAGGTGACTGCGGAACAAGTGCTTAACTGACCAGAAAACTGGTTCGGAGGGGAGCCATAGAGTGAATGAAAAAGGAAAGAAGCAAATGGTTGGTTGAATTATGTATTCTTATTATATGAGTAGGTGCCCTCAATGACAATGAGGAAAAAAAATAACCAAATATGCAGTATTCAAAACAAAACAACTATGAGGAAACGAATGAATGTGTTAAACAAACAAACAAAACAAAACAGGCAACTCGTGTCCTATGAGTTATTTCTATACAGTTCTATACAAGTTCCGTTTGGTCGAATCGTTTCACTATCCGGAAGTTATTTGTAATATCCAAAAGTTATTTGTAAATCCAAAACGTTTGTAATATCCGTATATATTACAAAACGTTTGTAATATATGGGCGGCACGGTGGCTGAGTGGATAGCACTCTCGCCTCTCAGCAAGAAGGTCCTGGGTTCGAATCCCGGTCGGACCAGGGCCTTTCTGAGTGGAGTTTGCATGTTCTCCCCGTGTCTGCGTAGGTTTCCTCCGGGTACTCCGGTTTCCCCTACCACTAAAAATATGTCCAATAGTTCTGGCATGTGCCTCCTGTACTGGCCCCGCTCCCATCTCTGTGTGGAGTGAGAGACAAGTGCCCAAAAAAAATAACAATTGTAAACCGCTTTGAGACTCAGCTCTGCAGTGAAAAGGCGGTATATAAATAATTACATAGATACATAGATCCCAAAGTTATTTGTAAATCCAGCAACGAATCCAGTTCTTTTACATCAGGAACAAACAAATAGACGTCAATCTCCTACCATGAGGTGGGGGCTCTTAGCTCGCCATCATAGTCCACGAGGAGGGGTAAAGGGAGGGGTGAAAAAACCTGACCTACACGAGGTCAAAGGAAAAAACCCAAATTATGACTCATAGTAAAACCCAAAGCTCTATACACACACATAACAATGAAGAAATATAACAATCTACAATGGGGTTTGTAAACATAATACATTATTAAACATAGTTCATTAGTCACATAATTAATTAAGTGCACTTTAAGTAAAGATGTGGCTATGTTCTAGATATCGATCAAATCAAAAGTTGCGCAACGAATTCAAATATTAATCAAAAGATCTCACTCATGATCGTCACCATGGGGTCAATGCAGAACAGTCATGGCCAAACCAAGTATACACGCCAAAACCATTCGTTCTAATTATATCCAGGACGGATTTAAACAACACAAGGTGTCCTTAACTTAATAAAGGCCTAACCTAAGATCCGGCAGGAACAAAAGAATATAAATCAGTAAATCGATTTGCATTACGTGGATTTGAAACTCCACTCTGGCGTTTGTGCTGCCCGAAAAGCGGCTAATATCCGCGCGTACATCTAATGGAGTGCTCAATGCTCGCTCGTATCAAACTCTTAACAAGTATCAGAGTAAAATGGGGTAAAACGGACTCACCGCTGAGCGAAGGAGGGATGTCCTAGCTCGAGGCAAAGCAGCGGTGATTCAGCTGAATTTATTGCAGCAGATCCATGGCAGATCAGTCGCAGCAGCGGATAGTAGCAGTAGCAAATAGCAGCAGTAGCATCACAACAGTGAGTGCAGCACCATGAGAGGGGGGAGGACAGGGGGCAGCGCCAGGTTAAAGCATCACGTCCGGTGGCTGCGTGGGTCACGCGGGATTACAACTAAGCTAAACTACGTGGGTTACAGTGCTAAACTACGTGGGTTACACAGGACTCGATCTGCTGCATTTTGAATGTACTGCAACTGTTTTACAGCCTGTTTGGACAGACCTGTGAGCAGGCCATTGCAGTAGTCTAACCTACTGGTTCTAATCTGACTTGGAGATAAGAATCTCCAAGTCTGCTTTAGACACTATGTTTTTGATCCTGGCAATGTTTTTTTTAGGTGGTAAAAAGCTGCTGATGTTACTGATTTGATGTGGCTATTAAAATATAAGAGTAAGTCCAGTATTAACCCTAGATTTCTGACCTGGTTTGAAGGTTTTAGGGAGAGAGACTGTAGGTGACAGATGACGCTCTCTCTCTCTTTGTTTCTGGGGACCAAAGACAAACATTTTGGTTTTGTCTGTGTTTAGCTGAAGGAAGTTGTTTTGCATCCACTCACTGATCTGTTGGATACAGTGAAGGAGTGAGTCCACTGGTCCATGTTCTCCTGCAGTCAGTGAGACATAGATCTGAGTGTCGTCTGCATAGTTGTGATAGGACACTTTGTTTCTGCGTATTAACTGACCTAACGGCAGCATGTAGAGCTTGAACAGAAGAGGTCCCAGGATCGACCCCTGTGGTACTCCACAGGTCAGGACCATATGATCTGAGACACAGTTTCCAATCTCCACAAGGTACTTCCTGTCTTCAAGGTAAGACCTAAACCAACTTAGGGCGGTGCCAGCGACGCCAACCCAGTCCTCTAGTCTCTGTAAGAGGATTTCATGACCGACAGTGACAAAAGCTACACTTAGATCTAACAAGATTAAGATTGAGACTTTGCCTGCGTCGAAAGCCGGACTGAAACATGTCAAAAGAGTTGTTGATTATAAGAAATCTTGTAAGCTGTTGGGAGACAACTTTTTCAAGGACTTTCCCCATAAATGGCAGATTTGATATGGGACGATAGTTATTAAGTACCGTGGCATCCAGACTGCTCTTTTTTAGCAGGGACCTGATGACTGCAGTTTTCAGGGCCTTTGGGAATACTCCAGAATTAAGGGACATGTTTACTATCTGTGTGAGTGAAGGTAACAGACTGCTCAGAACAGACTATAGAAATCTAGTGGGTAGTACATCCAGGCTGAATGTGGAGGAGCTCAGACTTGTGATCATCTCTTGGACATTTTTATCATCTACAGGTGCAAAGTGAATTAGCTCAAAGACCCTTTCTGGCTGTTGGATTGTTATCTGTGGATTGGAGGCAATGGCGTTTTTGATGCCTTGAACCTTGTCATTGACTACTACTACTACTACTGCTGCTGCTGCTGACACAGGGAGAACACCACACAGACACAGGGAGAACATGAAAACTCTGGGATCTAATCATAGCTGGGTTAAAAAACTGGTCTTTCTGACGTCTTAAACTATGCACTTGTCCCCTTGTGTGGGGATATTCTTGTGCAGTTGCCGTCAGTAACAGAATGACACAGGTCAGATCTGTGTCAAGGGCGAGGGCCTCATTAGTCTGTGGACCGCGGCAATTCTCTGGGCTTTTTAGAGCTTTATGATAAAGCAAACTGTTGCTGCGACAGACATCTGTTATTGGTGTGGTCTGAAAGTTATGTACCCCAGCTTTATTCTGACATTTGTTTGTCGCCGCTGGAGCTGAATCCAAAGCAAGGTCCAGACAATTCGTTAATAAGAGATGACTTCGAGGACAAAGGTCAGAGAAGGAATATCTGCACGTGTGAATATTTAAAGACGACATGTGGGTCTGACCTGAGTGGCAGTTATTTCAATTTATTGAACTAAAATGATTTTGCAAACGTCCATCTTTGCCCAAAATTCATAAACACTGGTCCCAGCGAGAGACCATAAAGATGGACCAGAGAGAGACCATAAAGATTGACCGGAGAGAAAGCCCAGAGAGAGTCCTCTGAATTGATCACAGCTGTACTATTTGCATGTAGCGCATGAAAACCACAAGGTTGAGAAAGGTGAACCGTGTAATAGCAAGAGACAGGTACAGGGAATTGTGTTTGTTTTGTGTGGTTTCAAATGCTGACCCTCTCTCACCTATCAGCTCAGCCCCTCCCTCACCTGTCAGCTCAGGCACTCCATCACCTGTCCCAGCAGCTCAGGCCCTCCTGCTCCTGTCTCAACAGCCCCTCCCTCACTCCTTCCTAGCGTGTCCCTCAGCCCCTTCCTCACCTGTCCCTTACTCCTTCCTCACTTTTCACTCACCCCTCTCTCACCTGTCCTAGCAGCTCAGGCAGCCCGAGGACTTGTCCCGTGAACACTCCCAGACAGATAAGGATGGAGTTGAATTGCCCAATGAAGCCACGCAGGTGTTTGGGGGAGATCTCCCCGAGGTACATGGGCAACGCACTCAGGGCGATTCCTGCAACACACACACAACACAATTGTTGCACAACTGTAACACAACCAAGGCACACCTCTGAAAGGCTTGGGACAGTCCTCTACAATTTAGTATATGGTTAGGTAGGTAAGACTCATGGAAGACTAAGGCCCTGTCCCAATTCCAACACTTGCCCTCGCTTTGAGCCCTTCCCCTTCATTTTGCGCGTTCCCGCGAGGGGGAAGGGTGTCCCAATACTTAGGGAGCATAGAGGAAGTGCCTATCTCCCCTTGAAAAGGCCCCTCCGCAGCGAGTCAGCACAGGAGCAGACTTGCGGCCGGATAGCAGCAAGGGAGTATCCCATAATGCCTTGCAAGCTCAGCCAGCGGCAAAAAAGATGGCGGCAACCAGTGGAAGCGAAATTTACAAATGTAAGTATAAATATAAAGCAAATACGCCTGTACATTTTTTAAATCAGTTGGAATGTGTTAAATCGATGTATATGCAATGGACTGTTAAGTTTATACTTGGAAAGTCGCTATTTGACGACGTTCGTAAAAATGCCGAGTGCTTCGCAAGAGTCTGCCCGTCAATATACACTGACCGCCGGGAGTGTGTCCCGGTGTATACATGCGGATGTTAAGTGCTTATCCAGGCTTCAAATATTCGTGATAACAAGGCATAATGAGCACAGAAAAACCTGAGTTACAGGGAATTTACACAGTAGGCGTAAACAGCGCGTACGCGTTTACTGCGCGCTCTCTGCGCGTAACATTTTTTTGGAGTATCTACACAGGCCGTGCGCAGGTCCTTCTGATGCTCTCCCTGTGTGTCTATGGAGCAGTGTAGAGGACAGTACGGGCCAGAGGACTGATGTAGAGCAACACAAATCACATGCATGTGTTTGTCCTCATGGTCTCTGTGCGCGGGTTTGGCCAGACGCGAGACTTTATGAAAGAAAAAAACGATGTCCAGAATCACTGTAAAACCTGCTGCTCCTCCTGCTGATGTTTAGATACAAGTGCTGTGTGTGCGTATACTGCGATCTAGAGCCAAGGACTGCTAGAAAAATCATGTTTTACATGAGATTTCAATAGGAGACGCGTTGGTGCGCGCACAAAATTAGAAATCCATCCTAAATTAGAGCGCAGCTCTAATTTAGAATGGATTTAAAATATGGAATCTGATGGAATTTTTTAATATCTTTTCAGGGCCTACAGAGAAGACCTTTGGCCTCATCCGCTTTAGGGTAGCAAATGATGTCAAATTTTTAAAGACAAAATTCACCACCAAAAGCTTGTGGGTGTGAGTGACCAGATTGTACAAATCATATCTGATAATACTATTGACCCAAGGTACATGCCCATATTGATATTCACTGTATGCTTACAGGCAAGCAGTGAAAGAGCTGGGCCTGGAGGGTGTAATCACCCACAAGCAGGCCAGCAAGAAGTGGGAAAATTTAAAGAAGCGTTATAAGGTTATTATTTGTGTGTGTGTATATATATATATATATATATATAATCTGTTTTATATCTTTTATCCCGTAATCTACAACTTTTTATTTCGCTCCCTCTGTCACACACTCACACGTCTCTTTCTTTGTAGGCACTGAGAGATGGAAATACGGGCACTGGCACAGACGGCGGAGAAACAACTGCGTCAAATTGGGCATTTTATGAAGAGATGCATGCTTTTTTGGGGGGGAGGCCAGCAGTTGCTCCCCCAGTTGTTGTGTCTTCCTTCAGACAAGCTCAGGAGGACCCCACAGCCCTGTTAATGGTAAGGTGACTGGAGTAGGAATTGCCATTTTCTGAATTAGCTGGGTTGCCATGGTTTCCAGTTTAATTTTTCAGTTTGAACATTAAAGTGCTGTAAAAAATGTGATGGGTAGAAAAAAGAAAGGAATACACCTCACAAAAACTTACATCACCATCAAAGCTCTAATTTGTGCTGTATATTACTTTTCTTTACTGCCATTCACCTTATTAGCAGTGCTTTAATGCAAAACCAGGCAGCTTTAGCAGGAAATTGTTCTACCGTCCATGTTATTAAAATGCACTTGGAAACCATGGCTACCCAGCTAATTCAGAAATTGGCAATTATAACATTTTACAATAACTTTGAAATAAGACCTCAATTATTTTTGTCCCGAACAGGCCATTGTCACACCACAGCCTGAAACCCCCAGAGAAGACAGTAGATAGTATTGACACCAGTATTGAGCAAGTGGTGAAAAGGTGGTACTGCACCCTAAAACTCCCCAGAAAGGGGACGGCGCTCTTGAGCAAGTGGTGAAAGGTGTTACTGCACGGTATTTTTCAAAGAGTTTTAATGAGTTAGCTTCTGTTGGCCTGTGTGTGTGTGATAATGTTTCGAACCCCACAGCCTGAAACCCCCAGAGAAGACCTTCCTCAGTCTGCCCCAGCCTCTTCAACCAATCCTCCCACTACACCGCCTGTCAGTCCAACCACAGCCTCTTCAAACAATCCTCCCACTCCAACCACAACCTCTTCGACCAATCCAACTACACCATCCACCACAGCCTCTTCCATCATTCCAGCTACTCCATCCACCACCCTGTCTACCACGCCAAACCCATCGCCAAGGAAGAGGAAGAAGAATGCTAACCAGCAAATTCTGGACTTCCTCAAAACCGAATCCGTTAATGAACAGAGAAGGCATACGGAATCCGAAGACAAAACTGAAAGGTTTATAAACCTTTTTGAAAGATTTGTGGACAAAATGCCTGACAAATAGACAGTTTTTCTTTTAATATCCAGGCTGTTTATGTTCATTGCCATGTTATTTTGACCATCACTTATTTCAATTGTTGACTTGTTTTTATTCTGTTTATGTTCGGAGTTCTTTTTTATTATACAACTTTTATAAAAGTATGTGACTATCAATCATTTTCACCAATCATCCAAATACAGTGTGTAGATCATAAAAGAAACTATCACCAACATGTTCTAGAAATAAGTTTAATAGAGTTTCAAATAATTATTTCCAACTGACCAGGAAGTAATGGATCCTGGGAATATATAAAATGAACCATAAGTACAAACTTAAAAATAGCACAAGAACATGTGCATGTTAACTATTTACAATTTTAAACAGAATAGTCTATTGAGGGCCTTCTGCATTGACCAACGCAGCAAGCCTGTCCCTTGTTGCATTTCCTGGTCTCTCGTGTGCATGAGGAGCTTCTTGGAGAGGAGGTCCCAGGTCCAGGATGTCCTGTGCCACATCATTGTCTGGTTCCAGGACATCGCCATTGTCCAGGCAGACATTGTGCAAGAAGGCACATGATGCAATCACCTGCGGTGCAAATGTAGGTTTAACCTCCAAGGCCCTGAACAGAGTTGACCTCCAGCGAGTCTTCATCATGCCGAATGCTCTCTCCACAATAGAACGGGCCTTTGAGTGGTGGTAGTTAAATTTTCTTTGCACCCGGCAATTCACAGGTTCTCTGTAAGGAGTCATAAGAGAGATGGGTTCATCCAAACAAGGATATCCACCATCTCCTAGGATGAAGTATCCATTAGGTGGATACCTTCTAGCAATGTAGAATGAACTGTTTTTTAAAATGCGGGTGTCGTGTACGGAACCTGGATAGCCCACGAAAATATCCATGAACTTTCCAGTATGGTCACAGAGGGCTTGCATGCTAATGGAATAAAACCCTTTGTAATTTAAGTAGTCCAGACGATGAAGCGATGGAGGCTTGATTCGAACATGACAACCGTCTATGGCACCAACAGCTTTGTTTAGGACTGGTGTCCCCGCCAGCTGGGCAAATCCATTACCCACAGTGTCGATGTCTGCAGGCTTTGGAAAACTGATGGCTCTATTTAGATTGTCCCAAAATAACTGTGCCACTCTGTGAACAATCCTGTGAATGGTTGATTTGGGAATACTGAAAACTCTGGACACCACACGAAGACCATGGGCAAGCCAGTAGACGTAGACGAGGACTTCATATTCATTTCCCCAACCATGGTTCTGCTCTCTCTTCATTAGACGCTGTAGGGAATGCATGGCCTGCCGCGATAATCTGAAATCCTGTCTGGTCTCCAACTCGACATCTAACCACAGGCGTAGGACAGGCACATCCGTGTTAAATCTGCAGTATGTCACTGGGCGGTCACTCTGGAAAAAAATAAAGATATTAATATGTGCAATAACCTCAGTGTTTACAACCCCTGCAATGTGACTATATCAATCAACCACCTGAATGTAAACAGTCATTTATTATTCATCAGCACTGCAGTGCTTTGTGTAGTTTTTTTTAGCTACACAAAGTTTATTTTATTCAGTGTACATAAGACATGTTTATACAGTCTATTGATAGATGCTAAGAGATTTTAATAAACTCAATTATTATAATAATAATTATTTTTATTAACACCACCTGTGTGATCTCCTTCATGATCAGGTAGCTTCAGCCATTTAAATTGTTCTCAATATACTGACTCTGATTCAAGCTTTCAGTAAACAATGGTCTGAAGTGTTGCTTGTTTACGTTCTGCTTATGTGACATAAATGATTGATTGACATAGCGAAAACAGTAATGCATCATGTTTAATCAAATGCAAAACATGCAAACTTCTTAGACACAATGCTAAGCTAGTTGCTAGCTGACTTGAGCAAAGTTCCAACATTTAAAAAAAAAGACATACCTGAAACATCCCAGCTATTGCAAGCATACGGCGAACGCGTCTTCTGTTTCGTATGTTTCTTCTCCGTTGATTCCTCAAACGTACATAAATCAACATAGCACACACAACAGGCAGGAGCTGCGCTGCGGTCGGCATTTTCACACGTGAATGAAAATAGTACTTATTGTATGTGGTTTTATTGCAGTTTACAGGCAATGTGTATTACTGCCGTCTACTGGACAGGGGTGAAATCAGGCACGTTGATGTTGCACGTGACGTAAGAACACGTTCGCTGCGCCAATTTGCATACTAGTGGTGTCCCATTTCTTAGGGGAAAATCTTCACTTTGCACTTCCCTCACTGAGGGCACTTTACTGTGGA